TGATACTGAACACAATATCACATACGTGGACGACTCGGTGCCGGGCAAGTTTATAATTCACTTAAACAATACGCAAACGTGGGTATTATATGCGAGCGACAACAGCCTCTCCTTCCGTGTCGAGAGGTCAGTAATGTTCTATGAAAACGCTACGGGATCGTCTCTGGTGGCAGACAAGGGATATTCTGGCACGATCCGAGTGGCGTTACTACCGGAGAATTGTACTGTCAACACAGTGTACGACGAGTATGCGGGATGCATGGTGCTGGGCGGCAGCGTGTCGATGAATTCACGCACACAGTACTCATTAAATTGGCAAGTCGAGGGCAGTACTTGTCAGACTGTGGGTCTACTACACTTTGCATTGCAACACCAACTTGAGACATTGACCGGAACAGTTATTCAGACAACGACGCCAGGTGCGATCGTTTTAAATTCGGCTACGCGCGGGCGTATGGTGGGTCAGGTTAGGACAAATCCATCGTGGGTGTTTCATGAACCAGAGGCAAATTTTGAGATCGACTTCTACCCTCCTCATAGGCCGTCGCCGTGGATAGTGGTCAAGACTGACATGTTGCGTACGCTACAGAGGGATATCATGAGTGACTGGACGGGGTATGGCGTTAATTCGTGGTACTTTAACGGAAAGTCGATCCAGAAATATGCGTCACTGTGCTTGATGGCATCAGACCCCGCAGTGGTTGGTCCAGATACGTTGCTGCTGTCATTCTGTCTAGAAAAGCTTGAGAAATTGTTCGAACCAATATTAAATAACACGCTTTCCCCGCCGCTCATGTATGACACACATTACGGTGGTCTGATATCGAGCTCCATTTTTCGGACAAGAAAAATTTACGAAGAATTTGGCAATGGCATCTACAATGACCATCACTACCACTACGGCTACTTCGTAGTGGCAGCAGCCATGTTAAAGCATCTTGACCCCAACTGGTCTCGCATGCCAGAACTGGAAACGATTATCTGGACAATGATGCGAGATGTCGTTAATCCAAGCAGGAAAGACAGGTATTTCCCACCCTTCCGTCATTTTTCGTGGTATCTGGCCCATTCGTACTCACACGGTGTGACATCAATTGACAACGGGAAGGACGAGGAGAGTACGTCTGAAGATATCAACTTCTATTACGGCATGACAATGTGGGGCAAAGTGACGGGTAAGAGTGCTGTAGAGGATCTTGGAAGTCTGATGCTTCGACTGAATGCTCACGCAATTCGATCGTACTTTTTGCTTAAGCTGGACAATGTCGTTCACCCACCCGAGATTGTTCGCAATCACGTCACGGGCATCTTCTTTGACAACCAGGTGTATTATAACACTTGGTTTCTTGACGAGGTTTATGCGATCCATGGCATTCAAATGATACCCGTGTCGCCTGTGAATGAGCTCGCACGCACGTCGACGTTTGTGGAGCAGGAGTGGAACAACATCCTATCAAAGCTGCCCATCATTACTGGGAGGAGTAGCAACATTTCGTGGCTGTCATTGCTTCTCGTCAATGCTGCCACAATCAATCCGATGGAGTCATTACGCAGGCTACCGAATGCGACCATGGACGATGGTCTATCGCTGTCATGGGCCTTGTACAACGCGGCTACTCGCTGCCGAGATCATGGGAAGGTCAATGCGTCCGAAGAAGGCAAGTTGACAATCGTGACATCCTGACCCCGTTCCGGATAAAGATGTAGCAACAATACCCAAAGAGTGTTTCCAATTGTCATGTTTGTTCAACATACGTCATGGATCATATCATGACACCGGTCCGCTTGAAGTGACGTGAGCCTGAAAGCATATAGAAAAAGCTATGCTGCTGCAGCGATGCTGCCACTCAATATGAAGATTGTCAAACGACGCTCAACGTCATTGGCTTGATAAAATGAACAGGTTTAAAGAAAGCCTATCGCGAGCAGAGTATCTACAAGCATGCCTTTCAATTTTGCTGTTTGAGTGTCTCACGATCATTATGGCGGAAAGTTAAAGCCAATTTTCTATTTTCACTGACAAAGTCGCGCTTTAAGACAAATATAGATTTAAATTCAAAGATAGACAGACATCTTGACCTAATTTGATTCTCTGAATATAGCAAGCAAATCACCCACTGTGAGGCCGCTAATGTTGAGAATTCAGGTCGTCGAAATCCGGAGCGAAAAAGACTGTATTGAAATAAAACAAATTCACCCAATAAAAGATATGTCGTGCGTATGTGAGGCTAGCAGACCAATCGTCAAAACTGACATTTCTCTTCTGAAGTCGCGTCTTCCCAGTATCAATCATAATACATCATCAGAGCACTTTTCTTTATAATTCGGAGCTTATTTCTATGTCTGAAGGACAACAGTAGCAATTGTAGAATGTGAACGTACATCATAAATTGGTGCGTACCCCGTGTCATGAAGTCTAAGAGACTTGACAATGGTATCTCCATTATTGTGTAATTTCTATTCCAGTGCAGCGGGGGAAGTCGGAAAAGCAATTATGTCTGTGGGTTCTTAGTCCTTATATTTCTTAAGATATATGCGTGCAAAAAATTCAATTGAGCACCGAAATGCCATCCAGTGAGACGAATTGCATAGAAATATTGTTGGAACTCGAGTGACAGCTCTTAGCAGAGCCAACAGCATGGCAAAGCAGGAGTACTACAATATCCCTCTTTTTAATAGATGCATTGGTAACCAATAAGCACTTAGCAGTACAGACCAGCAGCATGATATAAATATAACTCACCATTGCAATCGCCGATGCGACATTATTAAAGTTTCAAGAATAAAGCTTAACGGAATACGGTTGAAAACATAGAAAATTTGATAGCGGTGATATAGTGTGCCAAAGTTCCGAGTTGGCGGCGCAGAATACGCGTCGAGTTTTAAGTGCTGCTAGGTACTAACATGGACGATGCATTTTGTGTGTGCCGCGTTTAAAACGCAACTCTAAACGTAGATGCAGTAAGCTAGCCCTTATGATAGGTATCAATCAGTACATGTCGTTAATTACTCCAAATTGTAAATTTGCTTCACAAATCACTTCAGCCCGATGGTATATAACATATGTCAGAGATCGTCATGGCTGTTGACACGGATCGAATGCGCGTCTTAAATCACCGGGATTCTGGAATTAAAATTTCGTTACACGTCGTTGGTCATTAATAAAAGAATCGATTAAATTCATAAACGCTAACCTCTGTGCAAAGCACGAAATCGGTTTGGTGAGATAGCGAAACCTTTTGATTTGAGGCTTTATTTCTGTGCTGGCGAATCGTTTATGATTAGATTAAGCCTAATTCAGCTACCAATCCTACTATACGCGGGTTCTTAAAACGGTTGTACTACATGTAATAAATTTCACTTTACAATGAATTGAAGGTAAATTCATGTACCTTCTGGGAATATATAAGAAACGAGTTACACTATGGTGTCTCCACATGCATATGTGACATTTTCTATGATGTACAGAATACTGTATTTTACATGGGGATTTGTAATGGTGACGAGATGGCGTGTCTCTATCTTTCGAGGTGGATGGCATAAATCCACCAGTCACATCTGTCAGCAATTTTTCTCAAACGTTTAAGTTCGAGCTATCCAAAGCTCAAGCTTCGTGCAACTATGATCTTGAACAAGTTTAAGCTGAGGTTCAACCTTAGTACACCCTTGATATTATAAAGCAGATCTGTAGAAATCCAAGATTGCATAAGTAAAAGCTCCTGAAGCCCTTGGGTTGTGTTGCATGTAGCTCCAGTAACCATTTACTCATTTTATTTTAGTCGCAAGTGCCATCAAGCCCTCAAGTCATTTCTGTCTCCTTCACGTCGGGACGGTATATCTTCATTCATGTCGGGATCGCTTTCTCATCGCACAAGCGTGTGTGTTGTGTATGAGGGACTGTTGTGAACAGCGCCCTCTTACACCTGGTAGCACTTTGAGTGGTCTATTCAACGACATTTGATTTTAAATTGACGACGTAGCTGATAAGCACGTAGTGCTTTTCAATCCAAGCGATAAGCTTGTCCTTGTCCGTGCGACATGGAGGAATTCGGAGCTCCACTCGGTCCTTCAGTACCGCAAACTAAGGTGCTGACGAATGAGAGGTTCCATCGTTTGTGTTTACATCCGTAGACGACACTCGAGAGGACCCAAGAGGTCATTGAAAAGCTGCAAATATCAGCTTATTGCATTCGTCTTCTCCAGTTATGAACAAGACGCAGCCGCCAGTTTATATATCGTGAGATATGGAAACTTGGTAGCAGGTCGCAACCCCTGTTCTTCTTTCACAACGATGCCTCTGAAGCTAAATGTGCCTTTGTACCGTGGTTGAGAAAACGAGCTTCTATCAGTATGCTCTGTCGAGGTGAATACAGCAACCATAATAAATCAACTGCGAGAATATTCGCAATAAATGATGTTCACGATGTCCAACCTTGCATGTTGTGCGAAACGTTGGACGTATGGTAAGCATTTAGTCGATCGAAACTGCCTTACCAGCTACGATAGGATCCAGTAAAAAAAGGAGTTTGATCCACCACAGCGTAGGTTTGTGCCCGTGGCGAGTACTTGAAGCTTCATCAAGGTCGTTATGACCTACTCTCCGATGAACAACGTGCTCGGTACTTAGTTAGTATCAAGCATTGTTGACGTCACTGCTACAAGTGATGGTCCGAAGCGAGTAGATGTAACGGGGTTACACGTGCCCCTTGTGAGAAAGGGCGGATCGCACATGATTGAGCGACAGTACATAGGTGTGTATTACACAGTCAGTGCAGTAACATAGTGGTGCGGCTACACCGTAACAAGAAGCCACCATATTGTAGGATTGCCAGTAGTACTGCATATTATTATATTAATTAGGTTTTGCTGTATTAATTAGGTATTACTATATCAATTAGGAAACCCTAGGGTTTTAGATTTTAGCGGCTCTGCCGCAACTAAAACAAATAAATACATTTTTGTATTTGAACAGAAGTGTTCGATTGCCTTGATAAGGCTTTAGTACCTAAATAGCGGATTGCGATCCGCTACACTTGCACTGGTTCTTGGGTAGAACGTTACGTCGATGACCTTAGGTTAGCTTCCTCTGAACAAAAAGCTACGGCAGCTCCGCTATCTCGTACATTTCTACGCTTGAAAATCAGCGTCTTCGTAACGATGGAAATTGTATCCGTTGTAGGATGTCGGGTCATATTACCCAAAACTACAGAGGGTTTTGCCGGTTCGGCAATAGACATAGGGTGCTTGTCCGGATGACCGCTGACGTTGTAATTGACGTCGGTCCGAACGCTCCCAAGGGTAAGAAACAGATGCAGCCAGTGAGTACGAGGATCCCTACTGGGTTCGAGGAGAGTACATTGGATTTTGTGGGCTTATAGAACTATCGTCTTCATGTGTATATGTACATGCAGTTTTCAATAGGAGTGAAGAAGCGCCAGGCAAATCGTGACATTAATTGATTGAAATGGCTTTGTAGATGGTTTTGAGAAACCACTACGAGCTCCAATTGACATCGATGCGGCAAACAACTTTGCTTGAACGCACATTATGTCTCCTGACCAATTTTAAAAGAGTAATAATCATTGTCTGATGGATTTACAGCAAGATGTTGAAAAATGTCATTTGCTTGGCAATGAGTTTTGGAGATTTTCGAGGAGAGACGAGTTTATTCTTTTCGACCTCCATAAATTATTTAATTACCCTACGTATGCCAGGGTTGAAGCGCTTTTAGCCCAACATTGACCTTAAAATTCGAAGTTCTTCGTTAACAAGTCATGTAGCGTTGATTTGAGCTGCATGACGACGGGCTGAATGGGACAAATGCTTGCATCTACTAAAGAAGGGATAGGTATTTTAGGTGGTATGGTGGTGTGAGATGACCCTGTATGTCCACAGGACAAGCCAATGATGACATATGAACGACATCAACTGGAGGTGGGGCAGTCAAAATTTATTTTTTCCTTTGCCATCGTCATAAGAGCCATGAGCAATGATACTGTGAAAATATTGGGACTGAAGGCGAAAACTCGGTTTGAGAGAAGGTTCTCGTCAAGCTTCTTGCGTGCTACTGATCAGGGCATAAGTTTAATTGTTGAGTGAAGTGTCTACGGGCAAGACACTTCGAGCAGCTTTGTAAATGGTGCGGCCTACATTGACCACGGTGATGTCGATGCTATGTGTCACGTTACAATTGAAAATTCCCATCACAGCATAAATAGCGTTGATTATTATAAACATTTAACATCATAAACCTCAATTTTGGCTCGAAATTTATCAATGATTTTGCTTATAACAACTACTTCTACTAACAACCACCACAGTATAAAAGAAATATTATTATAAACACTGATATTTGTTGCCAATGTCAGCAAGAAGACACTGAAGCGAAGCCTAAAAAAAGGCAAAATTGCGCAGGTATGTAATCTTCGAATAAGTCGAAGAAGAAGTTATCAACATTGCATTAAGTAATGATGGAAAAGCGTTGGATGACAAGACACGATAAAGGAGGTTCAAGAAGCAGTCATGGGATGCTCTCAGACTCAATTATTCGTGCAAACTTGCAAGGGATAATAAATTATATTCCAAGACTAGGTACGGACGTACTGCCATCCGACAGAGGCATTCGTCATGAGACGAACACACTTCCTGGTACGACGTATTATATAACATGGGAGTGGCTGTTGCTTACAGAACAAATGAATGGTCATGAGCGTGAGACAATCTTTTTTAGTTAGGAAGCAACTGCTGGTTGGCGCTATCAATAAGCTAAATCACGCGACCGTATCAGCACAATATCAAGTCCCACGCTAGGATATGATCCTTGATAAAATGGTTAGCAGTACTGACATCTCGATCTGAAATGAAAAATTCATAAGACACAAATTCGCGAAATGATACACCATCTACTGCAGCCATTCCCCCAGTGGTATGCTGTGGGATTGCTAGCCGTGCCACAAGATTCAAAAAGCCGTCCCCGTGACTTTCAACAGAATGGTCACAAATCTATCTCGCCCATTGAGAAAGTATTCACCGAGTTATTTGACGATATATTTGTCTATAGTTGTACAACAGAAGAGAAGTCTGATGTCGATGTTCATCTTGATCATCGTCGTTAAGTCATCTAAGTTATGCGAGTGGATATTCGCTGGGATAATTAAAAAATGTTCATTGGTGCATCTTAGAACCCGTTTTTTTCGGTTGTTTGAAGGGCAAGAATGGCTTTTATGTACATTCAAAGTACATGAACGGAGCTATCAATTATTGGTATGTGCCAAACAATGTAAAACAGCTGAGATAATGATTGTGCTGGCCAACGTTTTGCACAAAGGCACGCGCAATTATGCAACGTTAGTGCAAATATTAACGACTTTTTAAAGAAGAAAGTCGAGTGAGAATGGTCAAGCGATCAACAGGTAGTGTTTACAGGAGTGGAGAAGAGCTAACAAGAAGCTCTTCTCCTTGTGACTGTGAGCCACGACAAGCCTTTTCATGACACTGCGATGCAAGTGATCATACCATCGAATGGTAAGGGTCGAGAGTGGGTTGTTTCGTATCAGTTGCAAAACCTCTGGCCTAAGGACCAGTTGATGGCAAAGCGTTTCTATTGATGAAATATGTCTGAGTTTCATATGCACTTTGCAGAGAATGGAGCGCTTTGCGATCTACACGAATCATTCTCGCTGCATACGACAGCAAAGATTCCTCATTTATCGCAAGAGGATGGCTCGATGGCTTTACTTCCATATGATGTACAAATAGGATGTCCGCTTCGAGCCAGGCAAGATAATATCCTTTACCAATGCGCTGTCAAAATGTCTGAACTACGCTCCACTCCAAAGTATAGGAGCAACAAGATGCACGAATCATGCCAACAATGCTCGCAAGCTACGATTGCAAAGCGCGGAACAACTGTCGAAGGGTACAAGTCTGATGGGACCTGTCAGGAATTGTTGAGGTACTTCATGGACACTTTTGACAAAACATTGCAAAGTCATTCGTCCCACCTAGATCGTGTGTTCATGGTTTGGAGTACACAATAGATTGCAATACAATGCGGTCGAACACAGGGATACAGCAAGGGTTGTTGTTCCTAATGATAATGATTTGAGTCATCGTCTTCTATATCAGACCTATAACAGCCTTTTGGGCGGCTAACGTTAACGTGAAAACGTTATCTAGTTCAGGCAGGACGCATCTTGGGTTGCATTGCCGTTATTGCTCATATTCCTAGAAGCAAAGCGGTCTATGCTTCCATAATGTTATTAACAGCGTGGAAATCGACGGCAGTCATGTACATCAGCATCAGGCAGAAGGCATCTTAACTTGCTCCGCCATTATTTCTTCCGAGATCATTCATGTATAATTAGAAACGCAAGTTTGTAAGGACTTGCAAGATATGCTAGAGTGAAACAATAGGGTACCACTCAGGCCCTTCTTCGGTGACCCGACAGATATAAGTTCGTGAGTATGGACTTTGTATTCGGACTTCTACGTGACACAGATGAATGTAATAGCATCCTAGTATTGGTGGATTGATTCAGCAAGATGGATCATCTTGCGTCTAAATTTAAATAAGATCAAAGCAGCAATGTTTTTTTATTTGTAGACGTTGTCTTCTGTCTGCATGGCCTTTTGATTGAGATCGTGACCGTTTTACATTAAAATTCTGTTGTGCACTGTTAAGACCACATTGTGTATGTCAACAGTGATGTATCTTGAAACAGACGATCAAACAGACATATGAACTCAGTACTGGAGAACATAATGCATGGTAACGCTTTGTCTTTCGATGAGTAAAGTGAGTTCTTCCCTCCTGCAGTGTTTGCGTTGAACAGCCGTATGGCTCTTGACGATAGTGAGGTATTGGACCTGGACTACATGCTTATGTTGACAGGGCACTCACCATTTAATGCGAGCTGTAGCATTCATCCAAGAGTACTTGCTTTCATAACGGAGGAAACCCCTACATTAAGTGAAGGGATATGGCTACAAAGACTCAGTCAACCCCGGATACAAATCGATTTTAAACTTAGTGAAAACTTCTAGTTGACATGAAAAGCCATGATGAGCAACACTTCTATGACTGCATGTGAAAAGACCGTATGCATTGCCGTTTGATGCAGAAACAATTGCAAGATTTCAGGATCTACAAAATTAAAAAGCAGTTAAGCGTTCATTGTGTTGAAATGCAACGGTGATGCTTATATCGTAAGCATTCCTTCACGCATGCGCATATAGTTTATGCAATTAGGCTATTTAACAGATCTGCCGATCTTAATTTACCTATATGAGGTAATAGAGCAGATTTTCAATCGATCGTGAAGAACAGCAGACTCTTCACTTTGGAGATTCTTCTAGGCGCACAAGCGCTGAAAGACATCGAAGGATTGCTCCTTGACTAAAATGAACGCGTGAAGGCGAGATTGGAACTCACCACGGAGTACCTTGAGAACGAACCCTACCTCTTTGATAGACAGCAACAGGTGTTTGTGAGCCAGAACACGAGTCTTTTGGTCCCTCCGCGGTCGAACAAATACATCATGAACCTGTTCAAACCGTAGTTCAAGACGAGACTCCAAAGCCGAGCATTGAGCGGAACCATCAGCCAGAACTTTTACTTCGGGTACTGCTCTGTAGCAAGGTTGAAAAGGCTCTCGTAGCGATATTCAAGCGTTGAGCAACGCTGTGTTTATGCCTCCATTTGCTTGTGATGAGCTCTGGTTTACTTTTAGTGTAGCTTGATCGGTATCATGTTCAGCCCTACCTCCACTATTAGACTCTCGTGGAGTTGGGTGGTTAAGACGATTGTTCTCACGATGATTGATCAACTTTTCATCGTGAGAGTAATTAGTTAAGGCATCAGAAATTCTACAGCGTTCGGTGGCGTGGCTTTCCATCGGACTCAGACAATCAAGGCCCTCGAGTCTGATGTTCCCGACGTGGTCCACAGCTACAAGAATTGCTAGTAGTGTTGCAAGAGGCAACACTACGATGCCCAGAGCTGAGTTTATGCTCTGTCGTGATTGAGAGTCCTGCCACCGCCGACTTGGCAAAACAGACGCTTCGTCTTTTTCTCATTTTCATTGCAAACCAACTCGCCGAGACGCCTGCTCAGCTGCGATGGGCAAGGTCGGACTGTCACAATTGTTGTTTTGACGGCAACATAGAATTGGTCCATGTAGAACTTTTGTCTTTCTCTCGGTTGAGAACGGGAGTAGCGATAAGGAGTATTAAGACCGCTCTTTGCTACTTCATCAAAAATCGCTCTTCAAAGTTGGCTTGTTTACTTGATCGCTTCATTGTTGTTGGAAAGTGACTGCTCCAAAAGGCTTGATAAGTATCAAAGTACACCTAGCATTAAGAAGGGGATGATGCAATGAGTACACTCAGCTGTTACATGAAGGTATATCTATGTACCTTTTTGCGTGAATTGTGGAAATCATAACAAAGGGATTACTGTATGGTGTTCCTCCATGCATATGTGACATCTGTGATAAAGTCACAAACATTTTGTGTGATATACAATGCCGATTTAGACCCGAGGATTTGCTCTGCCGACGATAACAACGTGTCGATGTCTTTAGTAAGTGGTGGGTTGCGTAAGCCAGTCACTTCTGCTGGCATCTTCCACAAAAGTTCAAGTTTGTTGAAGTGGCGTCGCGTAATGAGAGCTAGACA